TTGGCCTCAGATGCCCACGTCACGAACAAGGAAGCAGACGTTCTGTAGGTTGAATCTCCTGCAGTGGCTCCGCGGGGCGAGGGGGCCTGTAGGACCCCGTGGATCTCCTCAGTTCACACGGGAACATCCCCACAGTGTCCCCGACCCCACACTTAAGTTCGTCTTTCTAGAAAACCCAGTCCTAGAGGGACTCCGGAAATGCGTTCTGACTGTTCTAACTGGTGGGGGTTCCAGCGACGAGGGGGTCCCAGCGACACGGGAGCACGTGGGGGTGGGCAGGCTGCCACAGAGGGGTGCGGGGTGCAGACGGCTGGCACAGGTCGTCAGGGGGTGGGGCATGATTCTCTTGGTGAGAGGTGCGGTGTCAACTGCCAGCCCTGCCTGCCTGGTGAATCTCTGCGTTAACTTTGCTCCTGTAAAGAAATGGCCTGCGTGTTCTGCACGTCAGCATTGCACCCGTTTTCTCTCTTTGAAAAAGGAAACGTTTGTACAGACGCTGCCCAGATGATGTGAGTGCTCTGCCGGCTGCCAGAGGGTCCCAGCCGCCCCCTGGCCAGCGAGGCGCTCTCCCAGCAGAGGGCGGGAGCGGGACGTGGGTAAAAATGGGCTCCAAGTCTTCACTCCCCAGAGAGGGAGGTTGAGGGGCACAGGGCTAGGGGTCCCCCTTCTCTGGTCTTCCCACAAGCCAGAGAGTGGTGGGGTCGGCCGGATCCCAGCTCCTGGCCACTCTGGAGAGAAGCTGCTTGTCGAAGCATCCAGGACCCTGTTCTACACCGTCCCTGCCCCGAGGCACCCCAGGCTTCCTGGTGACACCCCCCCCCTCACCATGCCCCTCCCACGCACACACTTCGGGCCTTGGCCTCTGCTGCCTGCAGCCCTGTGGGCAGGTCCACGCCGGCCCTCCCACCAGAGGTGGGGACCCGGCTGGACACCCAGAGCCCCCTTCCCACTCCCGCCCCCGGGTTTGGGGACTCCTGTCAGGGAATTCAGCAAAGCAGAAATTCCGATTTGGTTGTTAGCCCAGGGGGCCTGGGCACTGTTTGCTGACTTTTTCACCCAAAGCTCCCCAGGTGATTCCACTGTGCACAGGGTTTCGTGCACTCACTTTCCTAGGCCCTCTGCATCTTAACGAGGTGCAAAGACCGGAGGAGCCACGGTCTCCGGTAGAGCATCCAGGCAGCCGCGGCACAGGGAGCCGCACACAGGCTCAGGACCAGAGGAACAGGTTGGGGCGCCTCTGCCCCGCACTGCCTGCGCACAGGCCTCCTGCCCCCGCACCTCCCTTTCCAACTCACGCACGCAGCGCGACGCGCCCCTGACGGTGGGTACAGGACCACTTGGAAACTGTACGGAGCCACATACCTGAGACGTTACTTAGCCTAAGAAGCAGCACTCATTGCTTAAAGCGAAGGCTCATCAACTCAACGAGGTAGAAGAGAGGAAATCAGCAGAAACACAACACGTCGCAGGTGGAACGCTCACAGCTAACGGTAGCCCCTACCTTAGTGCCCACGAGGTCGAGGATGCTGGGAGTCCAGGGGGCCTCAGGATGGCTCTGGGCCCTCGGCCCCAGGGCATTGGCGCAAGGAGGGTAGCTGTCGCCTGGGTCCACCTGCATCTGAGCTGCAGTCCGTGGCCCGCAGGTGTTCCTGGGCCTCCCGTGCCATCCAGACCCTAGGGCTCTCCAGGAAGCTGGAGGCGCCCATCCCCAGGCCCAGGGGGGAGGGGGGGCCTGGCACAGAGTCCATCAGCCGAAATCGGAACAAATTCAATAAGAAACTGAGACGAGATGACTGGACGGAAGGAGACTGCGTAGAGTCGCTGTGAGAAGCGAAGTCAAAGGGACACAGGGAAGGGAAACCTAAGATCAGGGGCCGACCCCGAGACTGGAGTCAAGGCAGCGTGTGGCACGGTGGCAGGCCAGCTCCGGTGCAGGCCCCGGGGGCACAAACCTGGGAAACGGGGCGCAGAAGCTGGTGCCAGGGACGAGGGGAGGATGAACCGACGAGGCTAGCCCTGCCTCCGGGGTCCTCCTGACTGGGGACTGCGGGAATTTCCCAAACCGCGGAGCCGCGGCCTGACGCAGAGTGAGGAGGCCATCTAGCGGCGGGGGCCGGGCCAGTGCCGGGCTGGGGGCAGGAGCGGGGCCACCTGTCCTCAGCAGGGACACCGGCGGAAGCGGGAGGATGGCGGGAGGAGGGAGCGTGGGACGACAGCCACCACCAGGACCAAGGGCAGAGCCAGCAAACTAGACATGTGTCCCAGGGCGTCCGAGGGCCGGCCTGGCCTGGCGGAGGCCGTGCGGAGCCTGACGGCGGGAGGCAGTGGGCCCAAGTTGTCTGGAGGGGAAAGGCAAAGAGAGGGGGCCACCTGGCGTCTGCAGGGGGAAGGCAGGGGTGTCTGGGCGCGGGGTGGGGGTGGAAGGACGGGAGTGAGGGCGGGAGGGCAGAGGCCGCAGAGTCTCTGGTGGCTCAGGCTGCCGCCCTTGTTTCTAAGAGGGTAAATGCAAACTATGATTGCTTTTTCTCCAGGTTTCTCCCCAACCGTCCGAAATAAGGCATCTGCGCCGGCTTTTATGGTCCATCGTCATTTTAGTCTTTAGTACCCGGCCAGCCCTGGGGAGGGCCTGACAGGCTTTCCCAGGTTTCCAGGGCTGGCGGGAGATGGAGGGGAGGGAAGTGGCCTCTCTGTCACTCGGGGAGAGAAGGCCTGAGGAAATGACTCTGGAAGCCGAGTGCAGTGCCAAGCCGTGAACCCTCCTTTCTCTCTGCCAGGTGGGAGCTGGCCGCACCTGGGGCACCCCCGGTCCAGCCGAGCCCACGCAGCACTCTGTGCAGCTCAGACTTCTGCTTTCAAAACACCCCCGTCCCCAGCCCCCCTGCATGTGCGGGTGTCCCTGACCTGGGCGCAGCGGGTCTGCGCTGGAGCCTCCAGCCCTTCTGCATCGCCTGGGCTTGTGAGGGGGGGGGGAGTCAAAACAATGTGGGAAGGGGAGGGGACTGGGGCGAGATGGGACGCCACAGTGGGGGGCAGTGATGTTGCAGCCACCTGTAGTGGGGCCTTTCTTGTATCTGGTCTTGCTGGTAACACACAGCGCAGGCACCAGGACACACACGACGTGCCCTGAGCTCTCCAGCTGGGCTCCGCTGCCCTGCTCCATGCGGACTAGTCGCCCTGACAAAGTGGGTGCTGCTTCCCAGGGTTCTGATTCTCCACAAACCACAGGGAAGAAAGCAGGGAGGCGGGGTGGGGAGAGCTCAGGTCAACCTTCCCCAGGGCCCAGACTGCAGACTCTTGGTCCTGCTCAGCCTCTTAAACCCAAAATAGATGCTCTTAAGATGCGTCTCTCCTCTCCCCCACCAAAAAAGAAGTTCATCTGCAAAAGGGACTTGTGGAAACGTCCCATTGTTTGGGCGGAGCTTCTCCCTGGGCCTCTCCCTCTCTGGATGGGCTGGGGCCAGGGCAGAGCACTAACTTCATGGCAACGCTGGCGGGACCAATTATCCCACGGGGTCAACCCATCCACCGCGCACGAGTGACCCTCGCCCTCTCCTGTCCAGAGGAACGACTGTACATGATGGGGTGGGGGCGCAGGGAGGGCACGTTCTGTAAAGAAGAGGAGTTTCAGATTTTATTTTTCTGGTTTAATTAGGACTTTCTGGAGATGCTTTCTTTTTCTCAAAGAAGGGAGGGACCGGGGACTCCAATACTGGGGACCCCAGGGCCATGCGCCTCTCCTAGAAAGCCCCTCCCTGACCAGAACACTGCTCCTCCAGGGCCCCCAAGGTCTGCTGTCCCTGAGGACCGAGGGCTGGCTGGGCCCCAAGTCAGGCAGCTCCGCACACTGTGGCAAGGAGCCCGCACTGCACATTCGACTCATCCCTGGCTGCACTTTGCTCTGATCGATTGTGGGGGTGGTGTGTCCATGGCCTCGCCCACTCGCTGCTGCTCCCGGGGCCCAGTGGCCTCCAGCTGCCTGCACACACCAGCCACGCTCCCTCCTCCTCGCTGGGGTGCAGCACCCAGACCCCTTCGGCCTCTCCACCCTGCCAGCCCCTCAGTTCACTCAGTACCTGCCCTGATGCCTCCACCCCATCTGCAGAGGTTTTAAAAATAATGCAGTAACTGAAACACAATAAAGGAGCAGTGTTTTCAAGTTTTTCTAAGGTGCTTAAAGCATTTCAAATAGCGACGCTCGAGGTTGTGGTCACTCATAATTACCCTTGGTCCAAGGATGCTCACTGTGCCACTGGAGGCCCAGTCCTCTTTCTGCAAGGTGCAGGAGGCCTGGCCTGCAGGGGACGTCTCCAGGGGAAAATGAAATAGGAGCTGGGCGGCTTTGCCCCTGGAGCATTTGATAGACTATTTGTTTGAGGACTGGAGCCTGGGGGGGGGTCTAAACTGTCCTTTAAAAACTTAAGTTGGTTTTAACTGAAGCATCTACCATTCCGGAGAAAGCAAAGGGGGAACGCAGCGGCGCACACATAGCGGGGAGTAGCTGGTGTGATCCCGAGAGGTGCGCCTCCTCCCTCCCGCCCACCTTTATCTTAGATAGAGATTTTTTTTTTTTTAACTCGAAGCCTTCAGGTGAAAATAAAGCAACAGCAGCAACAGAAAAAAAAAATGTAGTCTTCTTCAGGGTTAACATCAGAAGACAAGCTTGTGCAGCTTCGGCCAATCAGATGCGCCCCTGCCAGCTATAATATAGTGCTAAGGCGGCCTCTCGCACAAGCTCGGCAGGCTCGCTACCATTTAAAACCAGACTCTTTTTGTCTTCTGATTGCTGCCTCGAGACCCAACTCCGATGTGTTCCCCTGTCGGCGCCCGGCAGCCTGCCATTTCAGCCCCTGCCCGGGTGGGGATCCGCGGAGCGTCCCCCGCAGCGGCGGCGGGCAGGGTTATATAGGAAGAGAAAGAGCCGGCGGCGAGCGAGGGAGCGAGCCGAGCCGGGAAGCGAGAGCGCAGGAGAGAGCGCACACGCACACCCGCCCCGCGCGCACTCGCGCGCACAGACCCGCACGGGGACAGCTTTGAAGTCCTCGGGCCCCATGGACGGGATGCTGCTGCTGGCGAGATGTCTGCTGGTGGTCCTCGTCTCCTCGCTGCTGATGTGCTCGGGGCTGGCGTGCGGGCCCGGCCGGGGGTTCGGGAAGAGGCGGCACCCCAAAAAGCTGACCCCTTTAGCCTACAAGCAGTTTATCCCCAACGTGGCGGAGAAGACCCTAGGAGCCAGCGGAAGGTACGAAGGGAAGATCTCGAGAAACTCGGAGCGATTTAAGGAACTCACCCCCAACTACAACCCCGACATCATATTTAAGGATGAGGAAAACACCGGAGCGGACCGGCTGATGACTCAGGTAGAAACCCAGCGCTGGGGCGTGGGGTGTGTTGCGTTAAAGGGGTTACGTGCGGCCAGCAGTTCCAGACTTACTCCGACTGCTCTTCGGGCAGATCGCAAGGCGGTTGCACCCCCTTCCTCCCCACCCGCCTGCCCCCCAGCATCACCTCCTCCTCTCCCTGGAGGAGAAAGGAGGTGAAGGGTCCAGCTGGAGAAGTTTAGGGTGTGGGCGGGGGTGAGGATGGGAGGAGACGTGGCCCATTCTGGCCCTGCTTTGATTAGTCTTGCTACAATGGCCTTCCCCATCCTGCCTCACCCCGGCCTGTAACTTGGGGAGACCCTCACTTTGGGGGCACCTGTCCTCTCCAAATCCGGAGTGGGAATGGAGGGAGTGGTGGGAATGCACTCGAAGCATACAGTGGCCTCCAGGTCACTGTGCAAATGCAGCCTTGAGCATTAGCGCTGGGAACCGGCAGGTTTCCCTTTGCCTCTGTGGCGTTCTCTGCTGCGCTACCCCCACCCTGTAGCTCCCCACCGAAGAATTCTCAATTGGCAAAGCCAGAGGCGTCCTGACAAAAGCGGGGGCTCCAGCGGCGACTAGGCTCGTCCCTGGCTGTGTCACAGAGCTGGAATTGCGGCTCCAGCATCCGCAATTGTGCCCATCAGAGTGTGAATGTATTGATATTTCTTTAAGGATGCTCTTTCATTCTCCCAGCCTTGGTACCTTAGGGGAGGGACTTAGAACTTATTGGCATTGCATCACTTTAGTTTTCAACCTGCTTGCATAAGAATTAGGAGCGAATAAATATTAGTGGGGTGGGGGAGGCGAAGCAAAGCAAAACATGAATCCTCTCTCCCTCCCCACCTCCTTGGAGACTTGTGAGCTGCCAATCTCCCAGCCAGTTCTAGACTTTCTGAAACTCCATGCACGTATAACTGAAGCTGGAAATGGGTTTCCTTGCAAATATAGGTCAACATCCTTTTTATTGCCCTATTAAAATATTCAAGTCCTACCTTTAGGGCTAGGTGCGCTCAGCGGCTGACGGAGCGGCGCTGGTGGGGCGCGAGTGCAGGGGAGGAGGCGGATGGGAGGGAGAGAGGAGGTACCTCCGGGCCGCTCCGCTTCCCGACCGGACCCTGGGCTTGCTGGGGAGCCAGCAAAGGACAGGGGCCGGCGGGGTAGCCAGCTCCAGGTGGCCGAAAGCAGAGGAAAGGGAACCGCGGAGCCGGTCCTTCCTCCTCGCTCTCCCTCATCAGCTCCCGACCACCTTAAATCTGGCCCGCGAGTGTGGACGCGCGCGCCTGTGCCAGAAAGCAGCGCGAGCCACAGTTAACTCTGCACGGGCCACGGGGTGCCCGGTGCGCGCAGCTGGCTAGAGGGAGCTCTCCCGCTAGCCCGGGGCGCCCATCCCCTTGCCACCCTCGCTCCCCGCGGAGAAGGGGGGCGATGAGGAGAAAGCGGCGGGGGCGGGGACACCCGTGGTCCCAGAGCCTGAGCGGGTCAGGGCCCGCTCTGGGCTGCGGGAGGCCGACGCCGCAGAGGGGGTCCTTGGCCCGTGCCCGCGCCAGGCCCCGGCCTCGCCGCCCCGCTGCCGAGATGCGAGCGCAGAGCGGCGCGCAGAGCAGACGCAGTCCAGCCGCGCTTACTCCGGGGTCTTCGTCCGCGTGGCTGGGGTTTCAGGGCGCCCGGAGCTGGGCTCGGGCCGCCGGTCCCTGCCGCCCCACGCGCCGGGGCGCGGGCCCCCAAGGGCTCACACCAGTGCTGCGGTCGCCGTAATTACCCCGCGGCGGGGGCGGGGAGATTGGGGGCGGGAAGAGCGGGCTGCGGGCTCGGGGCAGCGCAGGCTCCGCCGGCCTACCCGGCCTCGCCCCTCCCGGGCCCTCCGCGCCCCCAGCAGAGCCCCCAGGCCGGTCCCTGCCCCCACCCGGACCGCCCAGCCCCGGGACCCAGGGCCCAGCGGCCCGGCGCCCCGCCACTCTCGCCGCCGCGCGCGCTGGCAGCATTTGAACTTCTGACCTTCTGTCAACTTCCCTCAGACAAACCAAACGAAAACAAATACTTTTTTCCTTGGGCAGTGGCTATTCCCGTTCCCAGCACAAAGGGAGGGGGAGGCACAGCCACAGTGGGGGTTGGGTGGGGAGAACCGGGCCAGGGTTCTATCAGGGACCCCACAAATGCCCCCTAAACACGCGATGGAGGCGGTTTCAGTCTGTGAGGCACCCCTGGCTCGCCCTTCCCTCCCCTTCCTCTGACTCTCGGAGTTGGGGGGCGCGGGGAGGAGGGGAGGCGGCAGGCAGGGGTGAGGGAGGGGGCGGGAGACCTCGCCGGGAGGTTTGGGCCCCGGAGCCTGCCCACCCGCCGGCCCTCGGTTTAAATGACCGCCCAGATTCTGTTCCCAGGTGCGTGTTCCTCGTCTCGTCTCGTCCCCCTCCCTGTCCCTGTGTCTCTCTAACGTGACTGCTGCCCGAGTCCCTCAACCATGGCAAGACCGTCCCCAGTGGAACTTTCAGAGCAGTTCTGGAACGCAGGAGCTCCGGGTTAATATTAACTCGGGAGAGGGAAGCGCAGACACGCTCTCCCCGCGCAGCCGCGGGTGCCAGGCGAGGGTGCCGCGGCCGGGGGCTCCGAGGGGGAGGGCGCGCTGGGGCCCCGGACGCCACGTTGAATAGGTTTCCTGCGTGCTTCGGCGCCGCGGGGACGGCGCCCAGGTGTGGGTTGCGAGGGTTTTCTGTCTTGCCGGGGAGGGGCCTGTTTCCCGAGTGCGGGGTAGGGAGTGGCGGCGGAGTGTTCAGAGACTGGGGCTCTCTTGAAGTTGGGACGCCCCCTGCCCCGCGCTGGGGGACACCCGCCGGCCACCGGGGGTGACAGGCCCTCCTGGGCGCTTCCGGGCGGCGCGGCCACGGCCATGCCGATGGGGAGCGCGCAGGAGCTCTGGCGCAGGGAGCGACCCGGCCTCCGCACAAAGCCCGGCCCTGCCCGGAGGCCCTGCTGCGCTTCACGGTGGCTGCACAGAGTCGGGCTTGATTCGCGGCACACGACCCAATGAATTAATAACCGGCCTGGGCTTCCCGGCTTTGCCGGAGACAGTCCCGCCCAGCCGGGGCGGAGGAGCGTCCTGCAGTCGCGAGCCGAGCCCGCACCCGGCCTGGGGCCTGGGGCGGAGGGGGGTGGGGGGCGTGGGGTTCCAGGTGCCAGCTGGGGCGACGCTCGGCCTCCGCCTGTCCCCAGCGCCTCCACCTCCTCGCCTAGGGCCCTCCATGTCCTGCCCAAGTGGCGCAGCTCAGGGTGCTGGGGGCCCCGGGTCCTCCTCATCCTGCCCTCCCGCCGCCTGGCCGCGCCGTGGGAAGCCGTTTAAAGCTTCATCTGCGCCCCCCCCAGGAGAAGGGAGCTGGGGTGGGGGGCTCGGAATGGGGGTTGCGTGTTCGTGTCGGTGGTGTGCGCCTGCGCGCACCCAGCTGCACATCTCAGCTCTAAACTGACCCTGGTTTACTGATTGATTTTCATGTAAAACGCGTTCAATCCTCAAGACGACCTCAAACTCTGCCCTTCCGACTTTTTTTTTTTTAACTGCTGGCAGGCCCAGAAACCTGCAAGCACTGACCTGTTCCCAGGGCCGCCCCCAGCCCTCTGCCCCCCGCCATTTGTTGTATGTTTAACCCTACAACCATGTTACTGGCTTTTATTGCTGCCAGATACACAGGACTTTTCCTGTTGCGCAACTCCGTGGCTGAGCAGTCCTTGAGAGAGTTCTGGCCTCCACCCCTCCCACCTCTTAGCGAAGGTCCCCGCACTAAAATCAGGGCCTAGGCAGGGGCTGTCTGTCCATCCTGACAACCAGGCTCCAGGCCGAGCATCCTTCCCGGCCAGCCCCACCCTCTCTAGAAATCAACTTGAAATTGTTCCCCTGTCCCCACCCAGGCCTGCTTCTCTGGGACATGCCGGTGTCCTCACTTGGGCCAATTCCCCTGTTTCAACTCTGTGTCCCCACCAGAAGCAGTGTCAATGTTCAGGAGGTGAGTTAGAACCCCCAAACACACACTGGATTCAACTGCTTTTATTGCATCTTTACCTGCAAGTGACCTGTAGGGGTAACCCCCACCGTCCCAAGTTCCACTTTCCCCGGATCCACATTAAGCCTGTTCAGTGTTTCTTTACTCCCAGGGGCTGGGGTGGGGGAGAGGGGTGGCTGGAGAGGAAGACTCTCCAGGCAGAGGGCTCAGAGGCCGGGGCCTCTCTGGCTCCCCTCCCCCACCGCCTCCCCACCCACCCCTCCCTCCACCTCTTAAGTTTGCTCTTCAAACCTGCCGGACACCATTCTAGGCTGGGGCCAAGAAGACAAGAGGGAGGAAGGGAACAGGTTAAAGAAAACAGAAACACAATCAGACCACAGAAAAGCCAGGCAGAAAAGAGTTCCACGGGGAAAAAGAATGTGGCCATCCAGATAAAGAATGTTTGTCCTGGCCATGGCCTGATTGAAAATCAGACTCACCTGCCTGCCTTCGGCGGGCTCTCTCCCACCCCTGGGGCCTTGCTATCAGCGTCCCACCCCTCTCTCACCTTGGGTTTCATTCTCACTTCAACAGGCACAGGGTTGAGGGAAGGTCCCCAGATAACGCGAGGCTTTCCATTCTTTAAGAAGTACACAGTGCGTTTTTCTTTTTTTTCTGCAAGTTTGTACCCTGGGCCTCGCCCTGGCCTCCTTGTGGGGCATTCAGCACCAGGAGAGCAGCGGAGGCCGGCACAGGTGTGAGGAAGGGGATGGAGAGTGGAGGGCAACCCAGGGATAGGGTGCAGCAGGCATTGCTCATGGTGTCCCTGGAGGACGCTGGAGTTGGAGTCTGAAAACACAGTTCACTTGTTTCAGAGAAACGTTACTTGCTTCTCAGGCCATGGGAGGAGCAGCAGCTGTTTGAGGATTTGGAGGAAGGCCCTAGCTCAGCCCCGGGGGGCCTGCTCCTTCTGTGGACCCAGCCCCAGCCTGGCCACCCCAGTGCCCTCTCTCCTGCGCTGGCTGGGCCCGTCCCGAGCCTCATCTCCCCACTTCTCTGCGCAGCCCTGGCTCCAAGACTGGGCAGGGCGGGCTGAGAGAGGGCTGGGGTGGGTGGCAGGTGCCAATGCTAACGTGTAGGCCGGTTGGCGTCCTCCCTTCTCTTCGCAGAGGTGTAAGGACAAGTTGAACGCTTTGGCCATCTCGGTGATGAACCAGTGGCCAGGAGTGAAACTGCGGGTGACCGAGGGCTGGGACGAGGACGGCCACCACTCGGAGGAGTCGCTGCACTATGAGGGCCGCGCGGTGGACATCACCACGTCGGACCGTGACCGCAGCAAGTATGGCATGCTGGCCCGCCTGGCGGTGGAGGCCGGCTTCGACTGGGTGTACTACGAGTCCAAAGCACACATCCACTGCTCCGTGAAAGCAGGTAAAGTGGCCTCAGACCCAGGCCTCCTCCATGTTCCCCTGCCCCCCCCACCATCGCCGCGCCCCCCAGCAACTCCAAATGGCTGTCTGTGCGGCCCTGCGCCTGACCCAGAGGAAAATGAGAAACGAGGGCGGGGCATGCGGTCCCGGGAGGGAAGGCTCTGGGCGGTGACGGTTTCTGTTGCAAAAACGTACCCTATGAGGGTCCCCCAGCCAGGAATCGGCCCTACCTTTGAGGCCACCGAGGCGAGGTTCTGCAAGCCCAGAGGTGGACGGGGCTGTGGCTTCCAGAGCACACTTCGCCGCCGCTCAACAGCCCCCCCCGCCCCCGCCCCGGCAGGTGGTGGAGATGGGCGACTGCAGGAGAGGGGGAGGGGCACTAGTGCTTTCCAGGGACAGAACGCGGCCCCGCGCGTTTAGCCACGTCTGGTCGAGACCCTTCCTCTCATTTAGGGCTTAAGAACCAATGGGCTCCCCTCCCACCCCCAACCGCGGGAGGTTCCGTCCCGGGCATGAGCTCCGTTCCCCTCTCCTCCCCGCTGGGCGCCTGTGGATCCTAAACCAACTTCGCTCGTTCGCTGAGCCTTTGGGGAGAGCCCTGGCGGGAGGAAACAACCCGGTAGTTACCACTCCAACATCTGGAGGCCGCACGCCAGAAGCATCCGTTCTTATAGGAGCCCAGCTGGGACGCCCCGCGCCGGGGCAGGGCCCGGAGAGACCAGGCGGCTCCCGTCTGCAGCCGGAGCCGGCGGGAGGCTGGTTTCCCTGGGCCTGCAACGCCACATGCTGTCGCCTGCGAGGAACAGCCAGGGAAGGGAGGCCTTATCCGCACCCGCAACACCCGGCCTGGGCAGCTCCGGTCTCCCAGCGCGTTGGCGCGTTTAGCGTAACAGTTCGCAGCGAATTTCGGGGGGCTCGGTCTTCTGTCCCTCCCCCTCCAGTTTTCCCTGTTTGTCTCCTAAATTTTATTTTAATGGCGTACATTAGCAGGAAAACACTTTTAAAGTGTCAGCACACACTTCGTAGGTAAAGAAAATAGTGGCTTCTTGTAGCGACAGAAAGCAAAGGGCTCGGGCAGAGGCTGGGTCCGCGCCCCCGAGTGCACGAGGGAGGAAGGCGCCCCCCTCCCGGGCTCCGCGGCGGGGGCCGCCTGCGGGGTCCCTCCCTACGGGGGACAGTGGGGACGGCGGGAGGCCTCTGGGCCCCGGCGCGCCCTTCCCGGGACCTGGCGGCCGCTCTGGGCGCGCGCTGCCCCCTCCCAGGCCACTCTGTCCGCGGGGTCCCTCTAGCGGGGGTCCCTGGAGGTCCCCCCAAGTGAGCAGCGGTAATCCCCCCCACCGGATAGGCCGGGAACACGGAGCCCGGCGCCGCGAGCCGCTGATCGGCATTCTGCGCACGCGGGCGGGGGCGCGGTGCGGTGCGTGTCAAGCAGGGTCGTGCGACTCGACGACTCGGGCTCGCCAGCGCCGCGGGTCGCATTCCAGGGGGGCTACCGAGGGCTTCCAACGGCCAATCCCGCACTTCATGACGGAGAAACCGATGAGAAGATTAAAAACCTTCTGTAATTCCGGCAGGAAGATTCTTTCTCGCAATCTCTATTTGCAAAAAGCCTGATCCCGGAGATTGGAATGCAAAGACGACGGGGACCTCCCGCCCCTCCTCCCCGGCTCCCCGCGCTCCGCCCCAACTTCCATTATTGTCCTTGGGACAGTGAGCCTCAGAGAGCGACAGAGGGCTCGAGAAAGCGGGTAGTCAAGGGGCCTTGAGAACCGGGCTTCCAGCGCTGCGAGCAGGCCTGGCCATTTAAAATTCAAATACGCGTCTTGAGTGCTTGGAGAGAGGCCGCGCTGTGCAAATAGCGCTGGGAGGCCCGGCTGCTGGAGAGCCCGTGTGTGAATTGCACGCGGGGCGGGGGCTGCACCTGAGCAAATAGGGGGGGGCGGCCCGCAAGCCGGAGAGAGAGCTGAGAAAGGGGAGGGGAGAAATGGAAGTGTCCCCCCTCCCAAGAGTGCCTCCCATTTATCCCAGAAATCACAATGACAATGCCGGGCCCTTTATTGGATTTTAATTAGAAAATCTACACAAGCCTGGGATTTTCACACCTCGGCCCATTCTGGCCAATGTTTGTCCAGTTGCTACAACTCCTACAGCTACTTTTCACTCCCCGCCCCGCCCCTCCCCAGGCCAACACCAAGGCCCGAGCGGGGCGCGAACGGGGCCCGGGCGGGCGGGCGCGGGGCTCGCGGTGCAGCCGGTGCGGAGCGCACGAGGAGGCGCCGCGCCGGGGCGGGAGGAAAGGAGGCGTCCCCGGCGCCCGCGGGGGCCCAGGGAGGCGTCCCGAGGAATCCAAGTGGAGAGCAAATACGCTTCTGGCTTCGCGACAGGCTGGGTGTGTGCCGAGCGGGGGATGGGGCTGGAGAAGGCGGAAGGGAAGGAGGGGAACCGGCCTCCCGCGGAAACGCCAGCCACCCTTTGCCTCCGCCCGCCCCATCTTGGAGAGTCGTTAGGGAATGCGACGGCCTCGGAATTGTGTCACTGAGGCGGCGGGGCTGGGGGAGGGAGGTCTGCGCGGACCCGCCTGCACGCGCCCCACCCCCGCGCCGCACGCACCGGGCCTAGGCGCGCGGGGCACCAAGCACGCGCCCCTGCGCCCCAGACGCGCCTCCCTCCCGGAACTCAGCAGCCTGTCCCCTCTTGTCTCCCTTCTCCCCTCCCGCAGAGAACTCGGTGGCGGCCAAGTCAGGCGGCTGCTTCCCGGGCTCGGCCACGGTGCACCTGGAGCAGGGCGGCACCAAGCTGGTGAAGGACCTGCGCCCCGGGGACCGCGTGCTGGCGGCGGACGACCAGGGGCGGCTGCTCTACAGCGACTTCCTCGCCTTCCTGGACCGCGACGACCGGGCCAAGAAGGTCTTCTACGTGATCGAGACGCGGGAGCCGCGCGAGCGCCTGCTGCTCACGGCCGCGCACCTGCTCTTCGTCGCGCCGCTCAACGACTCGGCCGCCGCGGAGCCCGAGGCGCCGTCGGGCGCGGGGCCGCCGCCGGGGGGCGCGCCGGGGCGCCGGGCGCTCTTCGCCAGCCGCGTGCGCCCGGGCCAGCGCGTGTACGTGGTGGCCGAGCG